TCTTTTTCTTTTTCAATAGAGAATAAGTGATTTTATTCAATGTATCATCTTAAAATCTTGACTAATTTTTACAAGATTATAATATGATTGAAAAGGATAAGAGCTTCAAAGATAAAACACATTATACTTCACAGGAAGCAGCTGCACAGAAAAATCAGTTCCCTAAACTCTTAAGCTCCAATTCAAGCCACATAACAAAATGAGAAAAAGTGAGTACATACATTTGTTCCTTTCAAATATTCTCTCTTTTACACTTATGTTTGAAGATAAGCATATAACAAATGAACTGTTGGAGCTATAGTTAAAAGGATACATATGATTAATGAGAAAAGGTAATATTGAAAGTAATGAAATCATCCATACACCAGGCAATACTTGGAAAATATGCCCACTTTCCACTGGCAAATGAACTATATCATAGAATACCCTTAATTAAGGATAGTTCTTTGTTTGTCAGATGATCAGTCAATGGTTCCAATCTGCTAACCACATAGTGAAAAGGGATGTCTCTGAAAGGCTGTGCCTGCATGTGGGGGCATTTGAAAGGCACTAGTGGGTCTTACTCTTTTTTTGAGTCCTGACTTTTTCCCAGTCAGGCAGTGTTCTGGTGAGAAACAATTCTGTACAAGGAGAGGTCATCTCATCCACTCCAACATGTGGCCCCTGAATACATGCCTTGTTCTGTCTGGGTTTGCCTTCATCTCTTTTCTTACATTTTATGTGAAGGAGTTTGGAGATGATTACAGCCTTGTGAGTTTCAAGAGGTCAGGATGGTGAACCACCAGCAGATATCGAAGTATAGTTCTTGCTGAGGTTTGCAGTCAGCCAGTCCAATTTTGGGGCCCTGTGAAGTTAGGAGCCATAGGACCCAGCCCAGTAATAACTGAGATGAGAGTTCATCCAGCAGTTATGCCTCATTTGGACGTGGATTTGGTGAAACTCCGTTAGGTCTCCTCATAGACCAAGATATTAAAAAGGGGAGTGTGCCCTCAGTGTTGGGGAGAAATATTTATACTTCTGTTCTCACTATACCTGTTAAGTAAATATCCTTCAGTAACAGTTGATTGATATTAATTGGTTAAATTGAACTGGCAAGCTAATCACTGGTGGCTAACAGGGCAGAGGCTTACTACAAGGGGACTTGAGTCAACAGCATTAGAGAAAAGGCACCCAACCCATCATGGGCAGCCCTAGAATCCTGAGAGGAAGACCTAGCTAGACTCTAGTCCAGATAGTGAACAAGAGACCCTTTGCTACCCATTTATATATAGTCTCCTTTATAGAATATAAATCCCTTGAGGGCAAAAACAATTTCATTTTTGTCTTTGTGCCCCTAGCATAGTGCTTGACACAGAGTAGTCACTTAAAAAAATGCTTGTTTATTAATTGATTATCTTTGTGCAGAAATAGAAATATAATAGTCTAGTTTAAGAAGGTGAGAAAATGAGTTTCTGCATATTGCAGAGAGCTTTTCTAATTTATGATGGTATCACTTATTTCCTATCTTTGCAACCCCTCATCAAATTTTGAATGTTAAAAAGGAGCTTTAATGTATGTTTTCCACTGATCCTCCTGAGGTAAGAGATTACTGAATGACAATGGTTAGGAAATCTGACACTTGTTTGGTTTAGATATAGTGCTACCTGGAGGCGGGAGTGCTAATTAGATGACATCTTGGGGAATGGGATTGGAGGAACTCAGGTCTAACATATTGAAGAAAAGCAGTACTAAATTACACCAGAAGGTGGCACTAGGTGGACAAGTTAATTGTCTATTGTCTAATAATAATCTATTGATCCACTTCCAGATTCCAGGAACTGTTACCCAAATTCTTCTCTGAGATTCCCAAGTCTTTGATGCCTACAAGTAAACTCTAAGATCTATGAGGGCAAGATTATTGTCTCAACTACCTAACACAATGTTATGCTCAAAGGATAGTTAATATTTAACTGAATTTAATGAGCAATGAGGTAGATGCTAATTGCTTAGCACAGTGCCAGGTACATAATAAACAGGATCATTAATGGTTTTTCTTATTCAGCAACTGTTTCCAGGCTATTTGGTGCCATGGCCTACATCTCAGAAGTTAGGAGTACATTTGTGAATAATGCAAGTATGAAGGAGTTGTTTCAGCCTACAGCCAGCCCAGGCTTGACAGAGTGATGGAAAATTGACACTACTTAAATTCCTAATATATTCCTAACCCTACCTTGGGGAAGAGTTTCAGGGAATGAATATACAGCCCCAATCTGGAAAGGGGAAAGTGAATGTAAACTGAGACAAATGATCCCACTTAGGGGAATTTAGGGGAATTTGAACTCAAGAAGATGAGTCTTCCTGACTGCAGGCCCAGTAGTCTATCCACTGAGCCACCTGACTGCCCTAAAACTGAGAGACAGAATTTAAAAACAAGGGAACAAACCCTGGAAAGTCAATTGAAAAGAGAGTCAGTAGGGTATTCCTAGAGGTATAGATGAAGATGAAGATCAGTCTTATCTCGGGTACACTGAGGTGGGAAATGGGATATCATGTACGGCAAAGAATAATGAGGTCAATTTAACTGGAATATAAAAAGTATGTGTGAGTATAAAAAGTATGTGGCACAGAGTAGGAAGTACAGAGTAATTAGTGTAGAAATGAATGAAAGATATAGAAAGGAAGCAAAATAATTTTGTTCAAGTGGTTTTTCTATCATCCAGACATGTTCCTTTCAGGTTTGAGTTCAATTTCCCAGCTGTGAATTGAAGAGGAAATGAAGGAAGTTTCCATTTTGATATGTTAAATTGCACTTGTTTTTCATCTCTCAATGAGAAATTAGATGATTCTCTAAAATGTTACACTTAAAGAAAATCCAATCTATCTGAAAGCTCACTTTTCCTGAAAAGAACTACTTAAGACATTTAAAAAATAGAGATTAGATAGATAAAGCATTTACTACAAGCTAGGCACTATACTAAGCAGTAGGGATACACAAACAATAAAGCGAGATTATCCCCACTCTCAAGATGCTTCCATTCTAATAAAGGAAGACAACAAATGAAGGGAAATGTAATGAGGGTAAATTCTATAATCTTTATGAGACAGTTTGGCAATTTAGCATAACTGATAATGAATAAGTTATAATACCTTCTAGTAAAATAAATTATATAACCTTAATGAGACAGTTTGTCAAGTTAGCATAACTGATTCCATTTTTGCTATATGTCTCCATTTTGTGATTAAGCTATCTTACATATGTTGTTTTTCCACAATAAGATAAGCACTTCTGTACTATGATGTAGTAAACTAGTTCAATCAAACTGATTTGAACCAATTTTGGTAGATTACAGCTGGTTTTAACTGGTCTAAACCAACCAATTTAAGAAAAAACCTGTCAAAACCAGTCTAAACTGGTTCAAATCATCCAAAACCAGTTTAAAACTGTTGGGACAAGTTTAAACCAGCTAAAACCAGTTTAAACTGGTTCAGACTATCCAAAACCAGTTCAAACCAATTCAAACTGGCAAAAACCAGTTTAAACAGTCCAAAACCAGACCCCCCAAAAAAGTTCAAACCAGTTCAAACCAGCCAAAACCAGTTTAAACTAGTTCAGACGAGTTTAACCTGGCTGAAACCAACCAGCCAAAAACAGTTCAAACTGGCCTAAACATGTTCAGACCATTTCAAACTGGCCAAAACCAGACAGACTACCAATATGAAAATATTTTTGAACTTCAATAATTATTTTGAACAAAATTACCAAGTTATGCAGTAAACAACTCTAGCTGAAAGTATAAAAGCTTACCTAGCACAGTGTCTTTCATATAGCATGAGCACAATAAGTATTGTATGATTGATGAGTATAATTCAATGTAAAGTCAATATCCATATAGTTCTGGCATTTCTCTTTTTAATCCTTCAGAAAAATATTATTTGTTTTTAATAGGCATTTAAAAGGATGTTCAATAGCACAGGGCCAACATTCACTCTCCATGTCCTACATGGGAAGAACCCTGGAAAGTGACCTATGAGGAACTGGGTCACACTGGTGCTTATTATGGTTCTTACCGTAATGTTGGTAGGCCCATTGGCAGTGCAAGTAACTACTGGCCTACTTGGACATTATGCCATTTCCTTTGTAGTCAACTTACTTGTGGTTCCCCTGAAAACTCTCAACCAGAATTTGAATTTCTTGGTCTAAAGTATACCACTTTTCAAATTACTGGGACCAGCTCCCAGCGGGAAAGGCATCCATGGTCCATCCAAGGCTCAATTCTTTCCCTGAACTATATAGAATTACCTACCTCACAAGATTATTATGGGTAAAGGACTTTGAAAACCTTAAAGTACTATACAAATTTGAATTATTATGATTATTTCAATAAAAGCTGTTAAGATTGGCTAGAATTTTCTCACTGCAGGTAAATCTTGCTTAATTAAAAATTTCCTTGGTGAGATCCCAATGTTTCTGTCTTTGTATTTGTGTATCACTTGTCCTAATGTGGGCTTTGTATATTGCAGAAAGGATGCTAACTAGCAGCTCTCAAACTAAAATCCAAATGACTGTCTTATTAGAACTCTAGTTTGTTTGTATTTTAACTGAACTCATCTGACGCCTGCTTATATTCTCAAGTTAACCACTTACATTTCTGGATAATTGACCTAAACATCCAGCTTTTAATGTCATAAATCTCAAATTCTATTCACTATGTCTATACAGCTGAACCTTCCTATATTCTTACTGATCCACTGTCAATAAAGAGTATGTTTACTTAATAATGGAGGATATTCTATTTTCCACATATACTATCCTAAAGAGAAACCGAAAGGTTGGAAACCGCTGCTCTCTGTAGGCTATATGAGTAACCTAATACTATTTGTAGAATCCCTGGCTCTTAGCTGCAAACTGCAAATAAAATTTCCTGCTTTCAAATCAATACCTTTCCCCAGTGAGTAGTATGAATATACCCATGTAATGTTTTCTTTAAAAATTTTATTAAACAAAGTGTTACAATGGTACTTGAAAACAGAATCTTCAAGAGACTCAGCTACATTAGCCAGTTTTCATTGAACAGTAACATGATGCTATTCATAACCATTTTTAAAAAGAAGAAAAAGAAAGTAGTGACCCATGTCAAAACATTCCATTAGTCTGTTGTTTTCAGTAATTCTCATCCAATAACATACACACAGCTACCAAGCCTACTTATTTAGTCTTTTTAGTCATACCTGTCAAGCTAAGTACAATACATGTAAGTAGCCTGCTTCAGAGAAATACTGAAAAGAGAAAGTAAATGATGCATCAGAAAAACCTTGCTTGCGTTTTGAGAAGCTTATGTTCTTAAACACATTTCACCAGTCAGCGCCATATCCTACAGGTATTATCCTTGCTGCCTGTAATACAAATGGCATATTGTTATTTATTGTTACTTTTCATGAGTTTATATTCTTATCTTTTACACTTCAGACTTTTTCTTAGTTATGATAAAGTATTGAATACTACACTAAATACTACCAGGGCAGCTAGGTGGTTCAGTGGATAGAGCACCTAGCCTGGAGCAAGAAAGCCTCATCTTCCTGAGTTCATATCCAGTCTCAGACATTTACTAGCTATGTGAGTCTGGTCAAGTCATTTAACCCTGTTTGCCTCAGTTTCCTCATTTGTAAAATGAGCTGGAGAAAGAAATGGCAAACCAGTCCAAAAAAAAAAAAACTCAAATGGAGTCATGAAGACTCAGAGACAACTGAAACAACTGAACTACTAAATGAGCCAGAGCTTTAAATTAATGACTATTATTAATAACTATTAATTCAAAATAAAGACTATTAATTCCCTGAGAATGTCAGGGATTTGTGACATATTAAATATTTTGCATTATTTTAATTAGCTCAGTTGGTCAATACTAACAAAACCAAAACCATGAGGTCAATTTCTCTATAGACCTGTTGAGTGGTACAATGAATTCACGACCTGTTGAGTGGTACAGTGGATTAAGGGTTGGGTCTGGAGTCAGGAAGACCTGAATTCAAATCCAGCCTCAGACACTTATTAGCTATATAACCTTGATAAGTCACTTAACCCATTTGCTTCAGTTTCTTCATCTGTAAAATGAGGATAACAATAGTACCTACCTCTCTGGATTGCCATGAGGATCAAATGAGATTATAAATAAAATGTGCCTAGCACATAGTGCTATATAAATGTTAGCTTCAATTATTATTATTAGCTGCATTGAAAACATTGACTGAATTTTAAATCCTAGCTGGTGTTCTCACAAAATGCATGGTGTTAGTCAATGTAATCCCCAGTGTTTTCCTATAATCCCCCTTAAATATGCATAGTTTCCAAAGAGAGAAATCTTTCCCTTCCACAGGTTCCTAATATTACCTACCTGTGAATTAGGTTTATCCTGTGGTCTCTTTGACATGTCTCTTCTAAGCCTCTCTTCTCATCCCCCTTTCCTTGCGCCTAGCCCCGCTCACCCTACACCCACCTAAGGTACCCCAGTATAATCTTGCTCTCTTATTCTCCTACCCAGAAAGTCAAAACTACTTTTAGAAAAGGAGCTGGTGAGAACTCTTTCTCATTGAGATGAAATGACTATGCTACCTGTCCTGAGGCTATTTATTAGCTGGTAGTAGTAGTAGACACAAACCTTTATAGTAAAAGAAGAAAGTCTGTAGGTGCTGGGAATGGACTTCAGTGGCCAGTGCCTTTTTTCTGCAAGCCCCATGGGCAAGGTCCTATTCTGCCTTTCTGAGTTTAAATATACAAAAATCCTCAATTCAGAGGCAATTTCAGTCACTCATAATTTTCAAACCCTGACAAAATGAAGAATGATCCCCATTATCATCACATAGCTAGGTAAGTTAACAGAGATCAATAGGTGTAGAGCCTAAAGAGAATCAAATCACATCCAAAGAAATTAATCTAAAGATAATCAAATCACATCCAAAGAAATTAATCTGTGGTTATGTCTATACCAATGCTTGTTCTGAATGAATTCTGTACTTTAAAATGTATTGAAGGTTTTTAAAAATCAAAATAATGAAAAAGGAAACTCTTTGTTTGAATTGCTCACATTTTAACTAGTTAAACTTGTGACTAGTGAATGTGCCACTGGCCTTGGAATGAGGGAGAGCTTCATTAAGTCCCAATTTTGACACTTGGGACCCTTGGCAAGTCACTTAATCTCTCAATGGCCCCAAGCAAGTCTCTAAGACTAAAAGTTGCAGAAAAAAGTGCTGATCTACATTGGGAGAAGTTGTTTGCTGGCAGTTTAGAGCTCCCTATTCTACTGAAACCTAAGGTTTGAAAAAAGCAACTTGGAATCATGAAGCAAAGCCTGGCCTCTACTCACCATATGCACCCCACCATAGCAGCCAAGGCTCTTGTAGGACCCTTTCTAAATGGCCAGAATCCCCTAGTGGAGTGACACCCCCCCCCATCCCATAAATCCTAACATTACTTTTTTTCATAAAAATTAACCCTTTCTAGGTCCTTTTCCCTTAATCCTTTGATAATATGATAAACTAATTCACATTCATATTACATGACCCCTGGGAAGAGCCCTGGACCTGGATTTAGAAAGCCTGATTTTGAGGCCTGGGCAAACCACAAAAATGTTTCAGCTTCAGTTTCCTCATTTGTAAAATGAGAAAATCTCTTCTAGCTTTATTGTCATGGTGGCTTAATATGTCACCATTACTTCAGGTATTTATTTATACTTTCACATAGCACTTCTGGGGGAAGATTTTGTCATCTCAGTGATGGGATTTCAGGAATTATAACAAGCCAGCAGGAGTGAGGGTTGTGGACTGGATGTTTGTTTGACGTTGCCCCCAAACCACATCAGATAGGCTGTCCTCTGCTTCATCTATGTGTGAGGCTGGATGCTAACACAGGAATAATACAACTACTTCAGGGAATAAGTGTTCATTAGCATCAGGTAAGGAATTCCCACTAGATAAGTGGAATTTTGAGAAAGGTTTATGAATATTTAAGTAGCTGGCAAAAGTTAGGGTAAGCCAACTTTTTTATGTCAGGGAAATTTGCCTTGCAAATAATTTACCCAATGTCACGCAGTAAGCCAGTTGTGAAGTTTTCTCCAGTTTAGCACTTTAGCAACCAGATCATGCTGTTATTAAAATTAACTAATGAAATTAAAATGGCATATCATGAAGGTATAGTTATGGGGAAGGCATTTTAGCTAGTTCCTCTTGGAAATAAGCCTCATATTTCAGTCAAGAACACCATAATGTGAATTGATAAAGAAAGCTTATTTTAAAATTAAATCAATGATTTGTATTCTTAACTTACCTGTAATGATTATATTGCCTTTATAGTTGAAAGCACAAGAGAAGATTTCATCTGTGTGGCCCTCTAGAATCTGGAGGCACTGTCCTGTATGAGAGTCCCATATTCTAGCTGTTTTATCAGAGCTGCCTGTCAGAAGACGATTCCCTTGAGGATTGAAGGAAATCTGAAAAAGGAAAAAAAAAGCACTAAATGTGATTATTACTAAAGGGAAAGCACACAATGCTCCTAACAACAACATTCCAAGTTATAAGGGTGTGGTTCTAGGGTACATGTAATGATTGGAAGTGTTTTTCTAATATGTATTTTTAATAAGTAATTTATTTATTTTTAGTTTTCAACATTCACATCCATAATATTTACTGGCATCCGTAAGTTTTAATTTTTCTCCCCCTCCTTCTCCTCTCCTTCCCCCAAGACAGCGTGCAATCTGATATAGGCTCTACTTATACATTCATATTACTTTTCCCATTAGTCATGATGTAAAGAACATTAAAACTAATGGGAGGAACCACGAGAATGAAGTAATAAAACAAAACAACAAAGGAAAAGGAGAGCAAATAGTATGCTTCAATCTACAAGCAGACTCCATAGTTCTTTCTCTGGATGTGGATAGCATTTTCCATTGTGAGTCTTTTGGAGTTGTCTCAGATCCTTGCATTGCTGAGAAAAGCCAAGTCTATCAAAGTCAGTCATCAATCACACAATGTGGCTGTTATTTTGTACAATGTTGTCCTGGTTCTGCTCATTTCACTCAGCACCAGTTCATATATGTCTTTCCAGGTTTTTCTGAAGTCCCTCTGCTCATCATTTTTTATAGCACAATAGTATTCCACTAGATTCATATACCACAACTTGTTCTCCAATATGTATTTTGATAACCTAAGATTACCAAACCCAGGTCCTCTTCCTGATTATATTCTCTTAAATAGTATACACCATTGCTATGAATGTTAATTTTGTTGCTTCATATTTCTACCAGGCTACAATTGAAAGTGAAAGTAACTGTATATATAGTTTTCAGTTATAACAAACACTTCCCATATTTTTGCTCTGTTTTCTTTTAGATATAGTCTATTATAGGCAACATTTTACTATTTAATAGTCATATAATGAATTATAAAATATATTTTCAACTTGAAAAATAAAATGAAGATGGATTAGCTAGTTCTGGATCTCAGACCTCTGACTCTTAATTATTTGTAAGCAGAGGCCTTAAAAATCCTTTTATTATAAATACTGTCAGAAACATTTTCTCCATTAATAGCAGCTAATAAAATTGTTAAGCATTTCTTCTTTATGATAAATATATTCTTATCCTTACCAAGTCTATGCATATTAAGAAAGATTTCCGGCCTTTCATCCCAGAATACTTTATTTTAAAATATCAATACTAATTTACACACACAATAAGAAAAGTAAAGGTTATGAAATTTCAAACTTGAGCCAAGTTGAAATTATTTGCCTTTCCAATACAGCAGAAAAACCTGGCATACTTAGAGCATAACTGTTTAAAGATATTTGGTCATTATTTCTGACTTACTCCTTCAACATAAGATTTCAGAGAGAAATGCTGGCATATACAACAAAACACTAGTAGGATAATCTGCGGCAAGTGTATATATATATATATATATATATATGTATATATATATGTAGACAAACTGTCTTTTTGTTAGGTAGTTGTGACTCAATTTATAAATATGAAAAGCAAAAGTAAGAGTGAAAATATTTGTTTTAATCCACAAGAATAGTCCTGTTCAGCTCCTTTGGTCAGACAAACTCTATATTGTATAAATACAGAACTGATCGGATCTTCTGAAACATGGCTTAGGTTGTCCTATGAGCTACTTTTCATAGTCACATTTTCCTTTCACACCCATACATTTCTTTTCTCAAACTGGTCCCCATACACTTGCTCAATTTTCCCCCTAAAACCCCACCTTCATAGCTTGGAATGCTATTATTAGGAGCAATAATTGTGAACAACAGTATGAATCAGGGATTGAGAGGTGTACTCAAGGTAGCTGGCCTGGACCTGTGGAGAAGCCCTCAAACAGAGCAAGAGTGTTTGACCAACACAGTGTCTTAGAGGCTCAGTTCAACAAATATTAAATGTCTCAATGCAAAACTGACAAGGGAGAAGAAATCAGGATGAGCCTAGTTGGGGATAAGCACCAAGTCCTAAAGCATAATAAAAATCAGCACAGACCTGGACCATGGCTGAATAAATGGACAGCAAAGCACTATAACATGTGTTTTACTTGGTTTGGTCATTAGTAGAGAATATAAAAATAATCTTTGGCATTTCTTAAAATTGAAGAATTTGAGGATACCTATTGTTTTAACTTACTATTAATTAGTGGTTATTAGTTCAATGATACAAATCCAGTATTAATTCAATAAGCAGAATATTTACCACATAGCATGATTTCTAAAAAATTATTCAATCATGTATTTGCTGTAAATTGGAAAAGCTGCGTAAGAGCTCATTATATTGCTTCACCAAGTACTTTTGGTACACCAATTTTTTTAAATTAATTTTTATGGTTATCCTTTAGTTTTATATTGCCCAAATTTCTCCTTGTAGCTTCTTCCCTCCCCTCCAAGAGAACTATTTCATATAAGAAAGAATTTTTTTAAAGAAAAAAAAAGAAACATAAGAAGAGTAGACATCAGCAAAACTGGTCAGTTCATAGGGGAAAATTTAAAAAAAAAATAGAATGTTCCACACCTTTGGACCTCCCACCTCTGCAATGGATTCGGAGAGGAGAGGGAGCTATTGTCTTCTCTTTGAATTCTGCAGTGTTCTTTTTTAATCATTTCATTGTGGTTGTTCTTTCATTTTCCTTTGTCATGGTCACTGTGTTTATTGTTTTTCTGTCTCTGCTTACTTCACTTTGCATCAGTTCATGTAAGTCTTTCCAGGCTTTTCTGTACTCATTATACTCATAGCACAGTAATATGCCATTACATCAATGAACCACAATTTGTTTAGCCATTCCCCATTTGTTAAGTAACTACTTTTGTTTTCAGTTCTTTCCTGCCATACAAATAACTTTCTATGGCTGACATGAATGTTGCTTTATGGAGGAAAATTGATTTTACTCTTCAATCATCATGTCTTCCTTGAGAATACTCTTATAAAAATGTGTATTATAAAACATATGTGGTAAATTTTTTAGAATAATATGAGAAATTGAGCTAAATTTAGTTCCTTTATACCTTAGGGTTTTTATTTAAGTAATTCATTTAAGATATAAACCCCCTTGGATTGGCTGAATTATTCTCAAAAGATATAAATTCTGATTAAATAGTTGTAAAAGAAAAAGCCAACTTACCTTTGAAATTTCACCTTCATGACCTTCTAACTTGGTAATACATTTTCTTGTAGCAGCACTAAAAACTCTTGCTGTTCCTTTGTCAGAGGAAGAAACATACATTCAGTGTTGTGTGTGAGCATCTTATTTTTGTTTTTATAATGCTCTATGTTGGAATGTAAGATAATAATCCTTATGTGCCACATATCAAAGGGACCCTACATTCCCATATGCCTTATGCCTAGGAAGAATAGATGGATTCTGATAAGTTTCATTCATTTCTTTAACTACATACCAGAGAAGTGAGAAAACAATAAATTGGGGTGCGGTTTTGATGGTAAATGCTCCAGCAACTCAGCATGAAAGTCGATGAAAGGCCCTGCAAACATCATTAGCTCTTCCTTTGATTTCTTGAGAGTACATAGAAATCAGTGCAAAGCTTAATGCGCCAGTACTGAATGGGCCAAAGATCCAGATGACTGGCCCCTGACTTGTCTAGTCTCCATGCCTTCATTCAGTAACCTAAAGCAAGAAGCCCACTCTCATCTCATGGGCAGAGAGACAAATGGCAAATATATCAAGTTGCTATTTGCTAAGCCTGAGGCAGTGTTTAAAATTGCCCTATTTCTGGAGCATCAGGAACAAGCAAAGAAGCCAGAGAGCAGGATATTGCTTGTTTCTGGGTGAACTGGGATCCACTGAGAGATAGACATTTAAAATATTTTAAAATGAAAAATATCCTGCAAAATCTTGAATGAAACATTTAATCCATAAATATAAATTATGAATATCAGTATTTGGCAAGAGATTCACATAAAAATATTCTTTAAAAAATTCATCATTTGTTTAATTCTTCAGATTTTACCACATGTATTTTATGTATTTTACATATCATATTTTATCACCTGACAAAAAAGCAACTGTGCTTACGACATAGGATGTCATAAGTGACAGCATGGTGGAGTCAACAGAAGTTTAGCTTTGTAGTCTGTAAGGTCTAGGTTCAAATTCTGCTTCTGAGTGGCTTTGCTACCATTTACAAGTCACTTAACCTCTCAATGGTCTTGACAACTCTCTGAAACTATAAATTATAGATGAGTTGTTGCTAACTTACGTTGTTGGAGGAAGCTTCTACAATGGTGGACTCACAGATGCAGAGTAAAAACAAACAACTTTTCTCATAAGTAAAATATATGATCAATTTACTTACCATCAGCTGAAGCAGTTGCAATAAGCTGTCCTGTATAATCAAAACAGATATCTAATATTTCATCATCATGACCTGTCAAAGTTGCAATACATTTCCCATTCAAAACATCCCAGAGCTGTAATTTAGGGGGGGAAAAAACAAACCATGAATTTCGATTTAAGAAAACTATACAAAGTCAAAGTCAAAAGTAATCAAGGATATAACTGTAACTGGTGGGCTCAGTAGCTTAAAGCACAATGCCTAGATCATGGATTCGATCCTTCAGTTAGCTTCACTCTGTTCAATGGCCATACACACATCTCTCCTAGAGCCAGCTGCCCTTGCAAATCCAAACGTGTACCAGCTAAATGGTGTGAATGAATCTCGATTATTGAGGAAAAACTCAAAGTGCATGGCCCACTGTAGGTATATATATATATACCTACATATATACATATATGACTCCATATATAGTCATATATATATACATATATGACTCCATATATAGTCAATCAATTAGGAGTATTTTTGTCAGATTACCAGCTTTTACTAAAAAATATGAACTGTCATATAGGAATAGCAAGGTGAAAAGCATTTAGTCTAAATTCGCAATCCATTATGTTATACTTTCAAGGTTAGGAAGTACAAAATATAATATCTTAAATATTTTCTCCTGATTTTCTTAAAAAATGAAAATGATAATATTTACTTGATTATATTCTTATCAAACTTTCCATTTTCCATTATAAGGGCAAAAAAATTCAGAAAGAGAAAATCTGAAATAAAGTAAAAAACCATTAATGCCATTGGTTTACAGACATTCATCATTTGCTATTAAGAGAGAAGAGGACCCAAAGTTTAAAAACACATGTTAAAAAAAATTTTAAATAAAGAAAAAAAAAGAGAACAGGAAATGTATTTTTAAAATTCACTTTTCTGGCTTCCAAATTTAATAATGTCTTATTCTGAAAGTTTAATACACACATAGAGAAAAAATTTATTAGGTAAAGGTCTTTCTTTAACTCACCATGCATGTTTTGTCCATAGATCCAGTTAAAATTAGAGAGCAATCCCAATTGAACAAAGCACTACTGATCTCTGCACGATGACCTATTAAAGTATATACCTTCCTAAAAAAAGAGAAAACAATGAAAGTTGATGACATATTAAATAATGTCAATTCCAGACATCTAAGCTATTGTTAAAAGACCAAAAATTGTGATTTTTACATGGCCAGGATCTGAGTGAACATGGTGACATCTTAGTCAAAGGGAAGGGAAATCTATAGCTTGAACTAGTCAATGAATTCCAAAGTCTTTGCTTCATGTAGGCATAAAAATATCAATATTGACAGCAATGAATAAAAGAGTCCCTTCATCTCAGAAAAGAGTGGAGGCTTGTGAAAATAATGGAATCAGTCTAAAATCCAGAGAGCTTGAAAATATCCTCATGCTTTATTAGTGAACATATTGCCTATTCAGAGAATGAATAACAAATTTGTGGAGAGGTCCTTTGTGTCTCCTCACTTTTTGGTGGAAGTGTTTTGGACAATTCCTTGCTCTTTAGGCCCTTCAGCAGATTGGTAATTTCAGCCAAGGCTTTTACAATAGAAATTAGCTAATTTGGTTAACTTCTTTCTGACTAAGACAAAAAAAAGCTAGAAAAAAACTGAAATGATTGGATCAAATCAAATTTAATGAATTATCTATATATTTCTTTTAGAATATGTTGATATTCTTAAAATACATAAGAAGTTTGTACATAATACAAAAATAAACAATTAAACTAAACCATTATGCTAATTATATTGTCCCTTTTAAAGAAATTACATTATTTCAATGAGTTTATAGAAGGTAGATATTTCTGTAAACAGAGAATTCATAAGAAGAATGGGCCAAGCAAAGGGAAATGAGGATCATGAAAGACAGAATCGTCAATTTTGATTACACAAAAAGGTTTTACACAACAAAAACAATGCAGCTGAAATTATAAAGGAAGCAGTTAACTGAGGAAAAAAATCTTTGCAGAAAAGTTTCTCTGATAAAAATTTCATTTCCAAGATAAGCAAGAAATTTATTCAGATTTATAAAAAATAAAAGCCATTACCTCAATTGGTAAATGGTCAAAACATATGAACTAGCAATTACCAAAGGAAGAAATCCAAGGTATCAACAACCGTATAAAAAAATGCTCCAAATTTCTAATTAAATTAAAGAAATTCAAGTTAAGGCAACTCTGAGGTACTACCTCACACTCATCAAGTTAGCAAACATGACAAAAAAATCAAAATGACTAATGTTGGAAGGGCTTCAGGGAAAAGGGCACATTCATACACTATTGGTAGAGATATTAACTAGTCCATTCATTCTAGAAATCAATTTGGCACTACATCCAAAACATCACTCAACTATGTTATGTCCCCTCACCCAATGATATCACTACTAGACTTATTCTCCAATGAGATCAAAGAATAAAGGGAAAAAACCTTTATTTCAAAAATATTTTTAGCATCTCTTTTTGTAGTATCAAAGAACTGGACACAAAGGAGGCAGCTATAATTTGGGGAATGGTTGAATAAATTATGATATATGAACGTAAAAGGATACTACTATACCTGGGGAGAAGACAAAAGAGATAATTTCAGAGGAAACTGTGAAAATTTGTAGGAGATTATATAGAGTGCAGTGAGTAGAAACAAAACAATTTATGTAATAAACATCACCATAAGGTGAACAACTTTGAAAGACTTAAGAATTCTGATTAATGCAATGACCAGCCACCATTCCATTTAACTAATGATGAATCAGGATGTGCAACTCCTGAGAGATGATGGACTCAAGATGTGGAATGAGATATATATATTTTTGAAAATGGCAAATATGGGAATTTGTTTCACTTCACTATGCACGATTGTTACAAGTTTCATTTTTGTATCTTTCCTTCTCCCTCCCCCCCCCACCCAGAAGTGGGAGATGATAGGAGGGAGAAACTGTTAATTGAAACATATTTAATTTAAATTTTTTTAAAAATTGATATATGTGAGTCATTGTATTCTACTGCTATACTATAGAAACCACAGGTTAGCATTAAATTCACGAATAGTTGTGGTCTATCAATTTAATACCATAATAGAGAAACAACTACAAATACCTTCCAGTCTCAACATCCCATACAGAAACTGTATGATCAAAGGAACCAGTGATAATTCTGTTTCCTGTGGTGTTAAATGACAAGCAGATAATTTCAGCTGAATGCCCCTAGAGAAAAATAGAGCATATAACATTGTGAGCAAAAATCTTTTCAAACAGTTTTCCCATACTGACTTTATAATGCCCCAAATATAGATAAACATGGCAATTGGCACTTGATGGCATTTTGTTTTATTTTCAAATCTTTAAACCTCAGGAGCACTTTGTTTCCCTAGTTGCAAGATGGAATTAGAAGAAGCTATTATACATGTAAACTGAAACATCATGGTCCTGCAACACTAAATACTTAGGCCTAATTTAGTTGTATTTTTGTATTACTCAAATTACTTTTTAGCATTTTCCATTGCTATAATTATTCTTTTTAATTGTGCAGAAATTTTTTAGAAGAAACTTAGCTTTTAAAATTAGTTATATAATTCATCTTAAAACATAAATCTCATTCCTTGAGAGCCTATTTAAATTTAATAAACTTCAAAAATTGAGATTAAAATTTTTGAACACAATTCTATAGTTCAAAACAAAAGAAGAAAATTCACTCCCTTGAAGCAGATAGGTAGGCACATAGGCAGTATATGACTCATCTTTTCAGATCCATTTAGGTAAAGCAATGGAAGTTATATTTTTGGGTGTCAGCATAGGCATTAAGGGGGAACTTTAACTTCCTCTTCTCTTGAAAACAATTAGTGACCCATAAAATAATGAGAATTAATGGCAGAAAGTTTTTACCCAAGTGAATAATCACAAGGTTTTGGGGGGAAAGGGAACAATGGAATTAAACTTGGCTTTATGATTTCCAATAAAGCAGCATGAGGCACTGGTGAGGTCTCCCAATCATATGGCCCCAGAAGAACCCTTGAACCCAGAGTTCTGGATACCAATTATGGAGAGGCAGTGGTGGTGGATCTTTCAGCCTGAGATATGGTAGGTATGGAGAGGGGAACCATGTGGCTCAGTGGTGGAAATTCCTGAATTCCAGCCCCAATGATTGGCAAAGAGGGGATTTCTTTGATGATAATGAATTTCTGGAGAGTTCTAGCACCTAACCTCCTACAGACAGTGGGGACAATTCCTGGATGTTAAGCTAAGGTAAAATCAGAGTCTCAGCCTTCGAAAGACAGGAAGGGAAGTCCTTGATCAGTGCCAGTCTCTACATGTGGCAATTCATTAGGAAAAGCAGTAAAAGATTGAGGCAGACTATGAAGAATCAAAAGACCTGGACTTTGCCCTCCATAATCACTATGAATTATTTGGATTGAAAAGATGGGAAAGAGTTTGCTTCTCTAAGTAACTGCAAAATTTGTTTCCTTCTAGGGGAAGTGGAAGCCCTTAGGATAATGCCAAAAGGCTTGAAGTCTGAATGAGTCATGGGAGAAAAGCTGGGAATCACAGGAATATCTTTTTGTTTTCTTTCTGAGGGGAGTCCAAGCCTTTAGGTTAGTGCCATAAGACTAGGGGTCTCTGAGATAAAGAAGGGGCTCACCAGAATGTCAGGGGATTGTCTCCCTTGAGATACCCAATTTTTTCACCTCTAAGAGAAATACAAACTATAGGGTGATGCTATAAGTCTGGAAGTAGGACTTGGCAAAGAGGAAAAGAGAATTGTTTCAAATGTCTGTGCGCTGATGTATGATGTTTTCTGCATGCTGTCTGTGAGGTAGAAAAAAAAGTGTATAATGTAATAAATTAAATTTTATTACATTACTTTATTACATTATTATATTACCTTCAGGGCTCTTTTATCATCTGTGAAAACCTAGATACAAGCTCTCTTTTGAGATTTACAGAAGAATTTTTAAGTAAGAGCAGCACAAGACACTTGTGATTTGGGAGAAGGTTCCTCAATATTAAATCTAGTCTCTGTATATTCAGACCTTGAGGTTCTGGGCCATTGGTTACATAAACACTTTGTACTTCCTTATCTGTCACCATGTTATATCTCATCCAGCAACATGTAAACACTCCCGAAGGGCAGTAACTTTCTTTTTTGTCTTTGTATGCCAGGCGCCGGGTACAGTGCCTTCTATAAACCAGGTGCTTGTTGAATTGAGTTGAATCTGAAACTTAGAATACATCTGATAGCATGCTTATCTTAGTAACAAATAAAGAGGTGAAATAATCAACCTACACTTAAAGTGACGACTTCCTCTCCATTCTGAATGTCCCACAGTTTGGCTGTAGTATCCATACTTCCAGTAGCTACCAATGTACTTTGAGGGTTAAATGATAAACACACCTAAATCACACAGAAGGGGAAAGATAGCAACAAGTTTGCTCATATAGGAAAAGGCTTGAAGATTCAATAACATCATCAAATTCTGGTTAGTTGTTTGTCACCTACAAAGGAAAGAAAAGCCACTTTATAAACATGGCAACCAGATACCCCCACATAAGCGGAAAGTCCCAAAGCAGCAACTCACCATGAATCTTCAAATACAGGAGCTCGATTACTTTTTAAACTATTTCCAAATTATTATTTATGAATGAATGCTTGGAATATAAAGTGTTTTATTTAATGTTTTAAAGGAAAAAACATTGAAAAAAATTAACTAGAATTTTGAAAAAATGCCTGAATAACAGTGTAGACCTACATAAATAAAAAAAAAGTACATTTAACCAAAATAAGACAAACAACATATGTGAGCAATAATAATACCAAAAGAAAAACTGACTCAAGCATTTTAATCTAAGAAGTGTGTGTGTTTCAAGAGGTGCTTCATGTTATACTGGACATAAGCCCTAAGAAAGCCAGTTAAATTTAGTCTTGCAGCCAAGAGAAAGACATCAATTTGGGGTAACAAAAGCATGAATTAAAGTGCCTTTGATTTAACAGAGCAACTTTCTTATGTTAAATTGAATGTCATTTTAGAAAATATTTACATATACACAAATAAATACACACACAATTTCTAATATATCTATTTCTTCTTCTAGCAAAGATAGGCTATGCGGCTTTTCAGTCATTAAACTGTAGCTTAGAATCTCAAGCTGAATCTATAAGGCATACTTCAATTAATATATACATCCAAAGTTCTAAACAAAACTGGCATTTTTATTAGAATACAACCTTCTCCCCTTCAAATTTGCATCCAAATGGACGACAAAGGTGCCTTTGATGTTACCTGGAACCCTACATGCAGTATTAAAGACTCTATGCATTATTGTGTTTATAATCCAAATAAAGGAATTAAATGATTTAGAAAATATTTGCTAACTCCTTTACTCCTGATTCCTTTCTGGTACATTTTGTGCAGGAGGCACACCTATTTTCTCACTTTAAGTCTGTGGTCTCTCTGTTTAGGAAATATAGATTGTTGGTCCCAGAAAGGCAATGATAGGCAGGAAAGTCTCTTTAAAATGCACAAACATGGGGTTAGGTGGCACAGTGAATAGCGCACCAACCCTGGAGTCAGGAGGACCTGAGGTCAAATCCGGCCTCAGACACTTGACACTTACTAGCTGTGTGACCCTGGGCAAGTCACTTAACCCCATTGCCTAGCCAAAAAACAAACAAACAAACAAACAAAATAAAATGCACAAACTTAAAAAGTAGGAAAGGACCTGAATCAACAAACAAACCCTAGATTCATTCAACCTGAACTGGTGTCTCCTATCCATCCCAGTGGGGACCACTTACATGGGGAAATATTAGGACTAGGGTGGATACAACAAACTAATGTGTCAAAAGATTTGTTAGTAGCCACAAGGCACAAACTTAATTTGCTAGAGGGAAAAAAAAAGAGAGAAAGAGAGCTATAGATCAAAAAACAAAGTTGTAAATGCTGACCTAGCTATTTTAATCTATATCCACTAGCAAAATTATTGAGAAGGAAATCAGTGTCTTATTGTGAAATGTATATTGGAGAAAGCCCTAACAAAATGCCCAGATAATATGATCAGTTCATAGATTCAAGAGACAGAAAGAACTTTTGAAATCAACTAGTCCAAACTCCTCATATTATAGATAGAGAAAACACTGGCCAGAGAGGATTTAAACTTGGAATTCTACACAATATACGATGTTCTTTCCAGGAAGAGGAAATAGAAAAATAGATATAGGAAGAGAGATTACACTCTGCAGTAAATCAGTGTGTTCGTTAAAAACAAAAACTATTGCTAGATTAAAATGGTAGTAATTACAGTGATCAGCAAGATGACAAAACAATTTTTTACCTCAAACTTCTCCTCTACCACAACCCTAAAATAAAGAAATTATGCTCTATGTATAGAGTAATTCTCGCTGGATCTACAATATAAGATATAACCCCTGCACAAGGCAAAAATTTCAAGAACTAACAAAAGAACACTTTAATACCTAGCACTCTCATCCCCCCCTGACTTCATGCCACCTCACATTGCGATAAAGTTCTGAGACTTGTGACCCAGAGTTCTGATGTAGGGATTCCTCCATGGCAATGAAAACAATTCAAAATCCTCTAGCTTCACAAAAGATGGCCAACACTGATTATGCCCAGCCATGAACAGAAAAGAGACAGAGACTGTGGGGGAGAAAGACAAAAGGGAGAGTTGGACAGGGTGGAAGACATTTCTGGTGCTCAGAGTCAAAGGGAAAAGAAAAATGAGAATCAGATCTGAGGAAAATGCAACTGAAAATCCAGATAGTAGAGAGCCCTATCCCTACCCCCACTAGAGATGGAGATCCAGGACTGAATGATTCCTGTTCTTCCAACACAAGTAGCTTGGGGGAACTATGAATTACAGTTAGGGATTCAAGATGAAGAGTAAGGAGGATTCTCAAATGCAAGTGGCTGTGCATACAAGAGAAAAGCTAAAATGTCAAAATATGAAGAAAGAAAGCCTAAATAAAAACCAGTAAGGAGGATCATAAAAACAGGAAAAAATAATGAGTAAAATTTCAAAGGAAAAATCTTTCCATTTTGAAAAGTATTATAATATGAAAAAAAATGAACCAATATTACCCAATGAAAAGAAAAGAGTCCTGGAGGGGGAGCCAAGATGGCAGAGAGAAGCCAGGAAGTTGCCATTAATGAATAACATTAAATCAACTCTCCAAACAGATTCTGGAGCAACAGAACCCACGAAAAGATGGAGTGAAACAATTTTCCAGCTTAAGATAACTTAGAAGGACTTCAGGAAAGGTTTGTCTCATTTGGATTAAAGGGGATCACAACCCAGGCCAGATGGACTCAGGGCAAGCCGAGAGGCTCTTAGCCACAGCACAGATCAGCAACTGAGGCCCCTCAGATCTGGCTCAACAGGGTAGTGGCACAGCAGGACAACTGTGAAGCCTCCGGTCTCAGAGCAGAAGGCAAATTGCCAGCCCTAGAACCAACAGGTTCAACTAGGCTGGGCCACCCTGGTGCAGTAGGCAAGCCACTAGCACCTCAGGCTCTGGCAGAGAAAGCCAACAACCAGGTGCCTGGGCCCCAGCACAAGAAGTATGGGATAGTGCCCCCTGTGACCCAGGGGCAGAGCTCAATTTTAAAAAATGAACAAAAAAAAAAAACCAAAAAGAACCCTGACCATAGAAAGGTACAATGGTGACAGGGAAGATCAAAACACAAATTCAGAAGAGGAAAACAAGGTAAAATTGCCTACATGCAAAGTCTCAAAAGGAAATATGAGTTGGTCTCCAGTCCAAAAAGCCTTCTTGGAAGCACTCAAAAAGGATTTTAAAAATCAAATAAAGAGAGAGAAGAAAAATTGGGAAAAGAAATGAGAGTTATGCAAGAGAGAGTAAACAGCCTAGAAAAAGGAGGACAAAAATGGATTGAAGAAAATAATTCCTTAAAAAATACAATTGGCCAAATGGGAAAAAAAATTCACTGAACAAAACAACTCATTAAAAAGTAGAATTGGCCAAATGGAAAAGGAGGTACAAAATCTCACTGAAGAAAATGATTCCTTAAAAATTAGAATTGGGCAAGTGGAAGCTAATGACTCTATGAGACATCAATAATCAGTCAAACAAAATCAAAAGAATGAAAAAACAGAAGAAAATGTAAAATACCTTATTGGAAAAACAACTGACCTGGAAAACAGATCCAAGAGAGATAATTTAATAATTATTGGACTACCTGAAGACCATGATCAAAAAAAAAAGCCTGGACAGCATCTTTCAAGAAATTATCAAGGAAAACTGCTCTGATATCCTAGAACTAGAGGGTAAAATAATCATTAAAAGAATACACCAATCACCTCCTGAAAGAGATCTCAAAATAAAAACTCCAAGAAATGTTATAGCCAAACTACAGAATTATCAGGTGAAGGAGAAAATACTGCAAGCAGCCAGAAAGAAACAATTCAAATATCAAGGAGCCACAGTAAGGGTTATACAGGACTTAGCAGCTTCTACATTAAAGGATCAGAAGGTTTGGAATGTGATATTCTGGAAAGCAGAGGAGCTTGGATTGGACAACCAAGAATCAACTACCCAGCAAAATTGAGCATAATCTTTCAGGGCAAAAGATGGATATTCATTGAAATAGGGGACTTTCAAACTTTCCTGATGAAAAGATCAGTGCTAAACAGAAAATTTGATCTTCAAATACAAGACTCAAGAGAAGCATACAAAGATAAACAGAAAAAAAAAATATGTTATTCAATAAGGTTAAACTGTTTACATTCCTACATGGAAAGATGACACTGGTAACTCTTGAGAACTGTATCTCTATTAGAGCAGTTAGAAGGAGTATACATAGACAGAGAGTGTGGGTATAAGTTAACTTCGACGTGATGATATAAAAAAAATTAAGAGGTGAAAGGTAAATTATATCACAAGAAGAGGCACAAAAGACCTATTACAGTAGAAGGAAAGAAAGAAGGGAGGAGGTGAGCATTGTTTGAACCTTAACTCTCATTGGATTTGGCTCAAAAAAGGAATATGGTATAGACATTTATCTTACCCTATACAGAAGTAGAAGGGCAAAGGGGAAAGAAAGGGAGGGGCTGATAGAAGGGAGGGCAAAAGTAGGAGAGGAAAGGGAAAAGGAAAGGGAGGGAGGTTGATAGAAGGGAGAGCAGATTGAGTGAGGCAGTGGTCAGAAGCAAAACACTGGTGAGGAGGGACAGGGTGAAAGGAGAGAAAAAAAGTATAAATGGGGGAAAAAAAGATAGAGAGAAATACAAGTTAGTAATCATAACTGTGAATGTGAATGGGATGAACTCTTCCATAAAACAGAAGCAGATAGCAGAGTGGATTAAAAATCAGAAACCTACAATATGCTGTTTACAAGAAACACATTTGAATCAGAG